GATTCAAGACCCTCCAACTTTTTGTTCTAAATTGTAAGAGGCTCGGGGGCTACACTCAGTGAGTGCCCTTTTTTCTTCAAAAAAGCGCACGTCACCAAAAAGACTTCTTCAAGACAGACCACTTCAAGGCCTCACGACAAAAAGAACCCGGACCTAGCTATATCCGAGCTCTTTTTGATAAAGAACCCGGGTATATGCTCAGGAGCCCTTCGATGAAGAATCAGAGCAATTTCAAGAGAAGACCCTCCAGCTCCTTGTGCCAAATAGCATGAGGCTCGGGGGCTACACCCAAATGGGAGTACTTTTTTCTTCAAAAAGGTACACACCATGCGAAGATCTCATGAAGCGCTACACGGTTTCGCTCAAGAAAGCACTCGAACGACGTTTGTTCCTGCTCGGCAAGACCTGAAGGAACAAGACGAGGCTTCTAGAGCTCAACCATGAAGTGCTCGGGGGCTTGTCGGTGCGGGACCCATGGGATACCCCGCAAGGAAGGGAGAAGATCTAGTCTAACTAGGATTCTTCCCCATGTAATCTTAGTAGTAGTATTATTCTGTAATCCTACTAGGAACTCTCATTGTAAACCGACTAAGATTCTGGCCTCCTGAATATATAAAGGAGGGCAGGGTTCCTAGAGAGGGGACTTGGACGACACAACACATGACAATCAATCCAACGCAAAGGCTAACGCCGACTAGACGTAGGGCTATTACTCGATCACGATCGAGGGTCCGAACCAGGATAAATCGACTGTCTCTTGCGTTTACCGTCGAGTTCCGCATACGCTGAAGCCCGAACAAATTGCCCGAGTACCCCCGTGGTAGGCTATCGGTGGTCAAACATCGACAATCCCGTGGTGCGCCCCACTCCGGCACGTTGTCGCCACCATCCCCTGCGGCACCCCATCCTCCGCGGTGCCTCTATCCCCCGCCGTGCCATGCCAGGCGGCCAAGAGAGAAGGCCGTCGCTGGCCGAACCTAGGCCAGGCGCAAGCGCAGCTGGCCGCTACTAGGCCGCGCCACCATCCTCTATCGCCGGCTAGTCGGGCCTGGCCGTTCCCAGCTCTGCTCTGCGTCGCATGGAAGAAGGGCAAAAAATGCATGTTGCAAACATATGTTTCAGATGTTTCAGAGGTATGTTGCAAGTGTTTTGTATTGATATTGCAAAAGTACATCGGGATGTTGCAAAAGTAGATCGGGATGATGTTGCACATGTTGTAATGGCTATACACGTATGTTTCAAGTGTATGTTCCAAATGTTTCATCTGTATCAGACGTATGTTGCAAGTATTTTCATCTACATGTTGGAAAAGTAGATCCGGATATTGCATATACATGCATGTTATAAGCGTATTTTTCAAGTGTTTTCAGGTGTTTCATACGTCTGTTGCAAGTGTTTTCATCTAAATGTTTGCAATGATTTTCAAGTATTTTTGCAAGTGTTCCAGACACATATTTCAAGTGTTTAATCTGTCTCTTTGCATGTTGCAACTGTTGCATTTGGATGTTTCAAAAGTAGATCGGGCGCATGAGTGAGCTAGCGTCTAGCGCATCGGGCGCACGAGTGAGCGCAACAGCTGTGGGCCCGCATCGCTCCGGATGTCGCCCACGCCACCTCGGACATCGTCTGCGCCGCCGGCCGCTTCCCATGCGCATCCACCCCGATCTACTTTTGAAACATTCAGATGCAACAGTTGCAACATACAAAAGAAGAACACTTGCAAAAGACGCCTGGAAAAACCTTCGACAACCATTGCAAACATATGCAATATCTAGATAAAACACTTGCAAACATATGTATGAAACACCTGAAAACACTTGAAACATATACTTGCAACATACATGTATATGCAACATCCAGATAACACACTTGCAACATTCGTTTGGAGCAGATGAAACATTTGGAACATACACCTGAAACATGCGTGTATAGCCATTACAACATGTGCAACATCTCGATCTACTTTTGCAACATCCCTATGAAACCCTTGAAACATATATATGAAACAACTAAAACACTTGGAACATAGACTTGCAACATGTCTGAAAACGCATGAAAACACTTGAAAAAACACAGCATCGTCGGCGGGCATGGCCTACCTGGTGGAGAACTGCGGTGGCGCAGGCCTCCCCTTTCCTGCTAACGGCGCGAGGTGGATGGGGGCACAAGCGCTGGCACAGGCCTTCCCAAGCGCAGGGGCAGGCCTCCCATGCCCCCCTTCTGTGATGGACAAGGTGGATGGGGCGCGACGCTGGATGGTGGTGGGGCACGGGCGCGCGGAGTAGCAAGGGAAGGGGCCGGGTGCCTTACGAGAAGGTGTAGCGCGGAAAGGGCCGGCCACGTGGAAGAGACGCCGGAGCATGCGCTTCATGCTGGGGAGGGAGCGGGGAAGAGAGAGCGCCCTCCTACGGGATCTTGCGGCGGCGGGGTCAGCCGGAGGTGCTGTGCGGTGAGGAGATTGGAGCAACTGAGGAGGACACTACACCCTAAGTGGGGAAATTTTCTTTTTTGTTGAGAGGTTGGTCAGGACTGGGAGTCGACGGGACGGATGACTGTGGCTAAGTGTTTCTATTTTTTTTGTTTGGATTTTGCTGTGGTACCCTCTAATGATTGTGAGCTGTTTATTTAATTAGATCGGATAGAATCGTTTATTATTTCTTAGAAGGTAATAGATGAAATATATTTATTTATTTATAAATTTAGTAAATTAGGATACTTAAGGAAAGTTTTAGATATAAATTATATTTTCTAGATCTAATTGATGCATGTGTGATCTATTACATATAGTATTTTTTTTATTTTGTAACTTTAGACATGGAATAATTTAATTAGCCATAGCTGCTGAGCATTTTTTTCGTGCATGTAATCTCATTCTCAAATCACGTATACGTGACTGTGAATGTCTTCGTTGCCAAATCCATGTGTGTACATGACCTTGATCATTGTTTTATGCTTGCAAAAGTTCTTGTAACGTAAGATGCTTTGGCAGGATTTTTCTTCAATTTTCATTGAGCATCGTAATAGAGATATTAATAAAGTAACGCATAATTTAGTAACTTTAGCTATTCAGATTAAGCATACTTGTATTTGGGTCGATGAACCTCTAGATTCGTACTTGAAGCCCTGGTGAACGATGTAACACTATTTTCGAATCAATAAAGTGTGTCAGGTGGTTTCCTTAAAAAAAAAAATCTACATACGTGACAGCAGATATAAGAGTTTTTTTTTCATTCACATGGTACCGTTTTGTTGTTTTTTTTTTCACCACGTCGCGCCGACGTGTAGTGTTACTCCGTGTTACTGACACCCATATGCTGGGGCCTTGTTTAGATCCCATCAAAGTTCCAAGTTTTTTCACTCTCTCTCCATCACATCAATTTTTAGCCGCTTGCATAGAGTATTAAATGTAGGTAAAAAAAATAATTAATTACACAGTGTTGAAAATCACGAGATGAATCTTTTGAGCCTAGTTGGTCTACGATTGGACAATATTTGCCAAATAAGACGAAAGTAGTACTATTCATCAGGTTGAAAAAAGTTTCAAACTAAACAAGGCCTGGGCTTCTTTTCTTCAAGTGGTACACGTTGAGAAGCCATTGGAAGTAGCACAAGATCGCGCAGACAAGCAGTCTGCGAAAACCTGTAAGAATCCAAGCTCGTGTGTATGTGTATAAAAAGACTTCAATTCAGCATATATGTAACGGTTTCTTGCTTCAGATAGCCCTGGCAGAAGCAAGCAACACGATAAGGGAGCATCGGAGACTACGATAAGGCAGCAGCTCCAGCAAGTCGATGTGCTTGAGAACATGGGGATTTTTCGGTATTTTGCTGGTGAAATCAAGCGTGTCCTTGACAGGACATACAGGTACCAATGCAACACTGTACTGAAAACCAGAATATCCTGTGGGGAACAATTTTTCTGTTAGTTTTTGGCGGGAACAGCAGGAAAATTAGCGACTAATACTGTCGGCACTGTTTAAACCGACAGGAAAATCCGAAGATCCACAGGAAATTATTTCTAACGATGAACTAACAAACAAGTTAGCTTTGTCTGTTCACCGTCAGGAAAAAATTGTTTAGCCCTTTCAGTTATTTAAAAAAAAAATCTATAGGCTTTTGCTTTCTCCTGTTGGTTTTTGCACCGTCAAGGAATTTTCCGTTTCTAGTAGTGAATTTTGAACACGTATTACTCATTCCTTGCCCTCATATTAGAAACACATGTACTTAACCAGTCATTTGACAGATGTTGGTTACAGACGCATGAGGAAATTATGGTGGACACAGCGACATGTGCGATGGCATTTCGTATTCTAAGGATGAACGGATACGATGTCTCTTCTGGTATTATTTTTCTGGACCTTATAGAAAAGTTTGACACTTTTAACAGATGGATTTAAACTTTTGTCCCTTAATCAACACTTATCCACATAAAAATGTGTTACAGATGAGCTGTATCATGTTGCTGAAGCTTCCGGGTTCCATAATGATTCACTTGGAGGATATTTGAATGATACAAGAACCTTCTTAGAATCACACAAGGCTTCTACAGTTAGTATCTCAGAAGATGAATTTATCCTGGATACCATTGGCTCATGGTCAGGTACCTTACTGAGGGAACAGCTGGGGTCTAGAGGTGCACTAAGGAGAACTACACTCTTTAGAGAGGTATGCTTCAGTGATTTACTGTTCTTGTCACGTTTAGAATTTGGAAAGATTAGATATATATGTTTAACGCTAATTTTTTATTTTCTTTTCAGGTGGAACATGCTCTAGACTGTCCCTTCTACACCACATTGGACCGTCTAGACCACAGGTGGACCATCGAAAATTTCAACGTTACAAGCCACCACATGCTAGAGACAACATACTTGTAAGTTCCCAGTCCACATAGTAAGGTTTCACTAAACCATTGTAATGCAGATACTTGCATTGATGATACTAAATATTAATGTTGAAACAGGTCCAGTCGATATACTAGCAGAGAAATATTGTTGCTGCAGCTGGGTGAAAGAGTGCAGGCTGGACCAGCTACCATTTGCACGGCAGAAGTTGGCATACTTCTACTTGTCTGCTGCTGGAACCATGTTCCCTCCTGAACTGTCTTATGCTCGCATTTTGTGGGCCAAAAATGGTGTGCTCACAACCATTGTCGATGACTTCTTTGATGTTGGAGGATCAAAAGAAGAACTTGAAAACCTTGTCACTTTGGTTGAGATGTATGGTCCTCGTCCTTTTACCACGATGTCTTGTGCATCAGTGCATCATCATCCTTATTATAATTTAACTCTTCTATTTTCAATGGTTTTTAATTATAGGTGGGACGAACATCACAAAATTGAGTTCTACACGGAACAAGTAGAGATTGTATTTTCTTCGATTTACAACTCAGTTAACCAGCTTGGAGCAAAGGCTTCTTTGCTACAAGACCGCAATGTTACCAAACACCTAATACAAATAGTAAGTCCCAGTTTTCCTTTTTTTTTTTCTTTTCAGCTGAGTACTGACTGGTTTTGAACGGCTTGTGCAGTGGTTGGATTTGCTAAAGTTTATGATGACAGAGGTAGAGTGGCGGATGAGCAATTATGTGCCAACAGAGTAGGAATACATGACAAATGCGTCTTTAACATTCGCATTAGGCCCCATTGTATTGCCAGCATTGTATTTTGTTGGGCCAAAGATCCCAGAGTCTGTCGTTAAAGATCCAGAATACAACGAGTTGTTTAGGCTAATGAGCACATGTGGCCGGCTCCTGAATGATGTTCAGACATTCGAGGTAAATTACTGGGTTGCAACTCTTCATTTTCATGACAAGCTTGTTACCCTCATGAAAGTAATAGTGGGATTAATTAGCATAGAGAATTACGGGTAGTTGTGTGTTGATAGGTATAGGAACATGGTATATATATTAAATACTACCAATTTAGTCTTGCACCACTGGAAACGGAAATACTCCTGAAAGCATGAATTATTTTGTCGGGTACTCGATACCGACAAACAAATTTAAAAGCCGACAAGAAAATTGTTTTTTGTATTTTCCTGTCAGTGTTTCATATCCCCTATCGGTTTTGCACCGATAGGAAAATTTTAGTTTCCAGTAGTTGACATGCATTCAGAAAGCCTTTTCATTTGTAATCGAGAAAAAGGGAAGCCTTGTATATTGAAAATATGAAGCCAGTTGACACATAGTGATCAACTGATGTACTGTTGCAGAGGGAGTACGGCGAGGGCAAGCTGAACAGTGTTTCTCTCCTCGTTCTTCATGGTGGCTGCACATCCATATCAGAGGCTAGAAGGGAGTTACAGAAGCCTATAGACACATGCAGGAGAGACCTCCTAAGACTAGTTCTTCGTGAAGAAGGTGCTGTTCCTAGGCCCTGCAAGGAGTTGTTCTGGGAAATGTGCAAGGTGTGCTACTTCTACTCAGGAAGTGATGGGTTTAGCTCACCAGTGGAGAAGGCTAGAGAAGTGGATGCGGTGATCAATGAGCCACTAAAGCTCCAAGGAAGCCATGCATCGCTGGTCGCTGCCTGTTGTGTGAGAGAAACCAAGCCTCGATGATGTTGTTCATTTGATTCAGTAGGTGTGTTTTTACTGTGAGATAGTTTGGTAGGTGACTGCATCAGGTGGTGTAAATAAAAGATCAGGTTTTGGCATGTGGTTCCTTTAAAGTTAATGATGGATCACAAACAAGATTTTGGAAAGATACATGGGTGGGTAACCACCCATTCAAAAGACCTATATATCCAGCGGTGTATAATATTACAAATCGTCCCGCATGCGATCTGGGGGCCAATATTATGAGATCAACACCACTGAATGTTTCTTTTCGGAGAGCTCGGTGGGGATAAACTATGAATGGGAAGAGCTAGTAGCCAAGATCACTCATATCAATTGAACTGATGATAATGATTTGTTTATTTGGAACTTACATAACAATGGTCAATTTACGGTCCACTCTATGTATCTTCACATGATAAATCAGAATACACCATTCTCTCATAAATTGATTTGGAAGTTAAAAATTCCTCTAAAAATCAAGATTTTCCTTTGGTATCTCTAAAAGGGGTAATTTTAACAAAGGACAACCTCATTAATAGGAATTGGAAAGGTAGTCAAAAGTGTTGTTTCTATAATTGCAACGAAACCATTAAATATCTTTTCTTTGATTGTCATCATGCCAAGACAGTATGGAGGACTATCTATATAGCTACTGGGTTAACCCCTCCTAGCTCTGTATCCCACATGGCAGGGAGTTGGCTATCGAATTTTGATTTTAAAAGAGAAAAATATATTTTGGTTGGGGTATAGTTGCTTTACGTGGGCAATTTGGAAATGTTGTAATGATCTATTTTTTTTTCAAAATTACAAATATACATCTTTTATGCAGTCTATTTCCAGGGGAACATATTGGCTACGGTTGTGGGCACTATTGCAACATGATGAAACAAAGAAGTCTTTCTAGTTAGCTAGCAGAAAATTAGAGACCACTACGCTGGAGCTATTGCTTCTCATGGGTGGAAATTTAATAAGACTCTGGCATGCATAATTTTTGCATTTCTTGTTTCCCTGACTGAAACTACTCTCTTCGTCCTGTAATATAGTGCATTCTAGCACTTAAAAATTGTCCTTAAATATAATGCATTCTAGAGGACAAAAACCAATTTTACATTAAATACTTTTCATTTATCAACTAATTATCATTAATCACGTTGATGATAGCGTCTGATTAGGAAATAAAATAAGGATACATGCGTATTTTATGTTCTCTCTTAATTTGTCTTAAAATTCATAGGATGCACTATATTACAGGACAGAGGGAGTATGTAATAATGTGAACGCTGTGTGCGGTAATGTAGAAGCGGGAAGTTTCTTTCATTTTCTAAAAAAAATCAGGTGGTGTAAGTGTAACCACTTGCGTTGATGTTAGTAGCATAAATATAGGAATGTTGTGCGAAGTAGGAGATATGTAAGGTATTCACGGAGTGTTGTGCCATTGGAGTGAATTATACTGATATTTTGTAAGCTCAATGTTGATGGTGTAATTTGGCTAGTTAGTTTGTCATAATCAGCCAAATTATTTTAGTCTACGGTAACTGAATTAAACCAGTTGGCATATTGTTTTAGAGTAGCTATAGGTTAGAAATATGTCAAGCATGAAGACTAGACGCCACTTTGATGAATGGCGAAGTTCACATAAGAAGAGGAGTAAAGCAAAGAAGGAAGAAAACAAAAGCCATGAAAGTATCCTGTTCCGTTGCCATAGACCGAGCAACCAATATATTATGGGCTAGGGCACGGGCTGATTTTTTTTTTTAGAAAAGGACTCATTTACTTCCATCAACTATCATGATTGTTCAATTTTTCTCTATCAATTGTAAAACTAGTTTTTAACACCCCTGTCAATTTTTAAAACCGTTTGTTTTTTTCGCCTTGGTGCTTTTGATGGTGGTTTTGTCTATGTGACGCCACGTCAGAGGTGGTAATCGGGCTAAGTTCAAAGTTTAGTGAGGTAAATAAGGCTAGAAATATTTTTAGATCTAAAAATTTCAAAAAAAAACAATATTTATTCAAATAATTTTTAGTAATGAAAAAATTTCTAAAATCTGGTTTAATCTAAGAAAATTCATAGAAAGTTTGTGTTACCTCAGGAAATTATGAAAGTAGTTTCAAATCTTTTTTCAAAAATCAACTTATGGTGCCTAGATTGATTTTTTTTTAAATTGATGGAGTTATTTTGGTGCTTATTTGCTAGTAGGTCTCATTATCTATTGTAATTAGTCAATGTTGATCGTCCAAACTATATAGAAGCATAGTGGAGCTTTTGTCAAGACAGTATTAGACGCAGGTCCATACGTGGATAATTTTTCAAAGTAGTTGTGTTAGCCTGCGTGGCATGTACCCTACCCTACTCGTTTTGTAACACCATTAGCACTAAACATGAAAGGTTAACTTGTCAATGAGAGGCTTATGGTAAGGTTAGTGTAAGAAATAACTCAAATATACAAGGAAATAAAAACAAATTGTTAAATAAGAACTTAAGATCTTGATGATGCTTTACGACAACTTAATCATATGTGTGGACATTCAAAACCTTAACTCTCAAACATAAACTTGGATGTGAGCCACCATGTGTAACAAGATTTCATAGAAAGCAAAAATCTCATGTGCCAAGCCAAAACTTTGTAACATAGAAATGGAAAACTTGATCATAAGTGCATGAATATAAAGATAAGGTCACACTTTGATGAAGTTTCCAACTTGCTTAGAGGATGTTTGTAACTTGTATATGTTGTTCCCACGCATAGGTCATAAGTACTCATGTTGACTTATACAATCTCTATGTTGTTTCCACACACATGTCATAAGTCAACATGAGTACTTATAACCTATGTGTGGAAACAACATATACAAGTTACAAACAGTGCACACACAACCTCTGTTGTTGTTTATCACCAGATCACCTAACTAAAAGCATTGTTAAGATTATCTCTAACTAAAGATAAATATATGACATGTGATGATAGTTATGCAGAGGTCAAAGCCTTTTAATTATGGTCAAACTCAATTTTTGGTGAAAAAGATAAATTAAATTAAATAATTATTAAATATAATTTAATGTCAAATAAATGAAAACAATTCAAATTACCAAACACATGATGCCGAAACCTTAACTCCAACTAAAAATAAAATAAAAATAAAGGAGAAAAATAAAGGCCACATAAAATGATAATGTATTTAAAAGCTTTAAACATATGTTATTATTAAATATAACTCTATATATTTGCTTGTGCACAAAAGTCAGCCTTGTGACCATTAAATCCTAATTAAGTTATTAAACATCTTTCATTGAAGTTTCATGTGCAAATGGTATAAAGGAAATGACTAAAAGTTATGAATACTCCATTGGCCATTAATTGCCTATTAGCCTTTTGGAGAGCCAATTAAATGATAATATTATTAAACACCTTAAAATTGGTCAATATAAAAAGTGTAGTACAAGTCATGTACTATAATATAACGCAGTTTACACAGAAGTCGCAAAAAAAACACAGTTTGCACAGAGCTAATCATTGGCCATTAATTGCCTATTTGCCGAGACCCCTGGCCCAAGGAGTTGGCGATCCCAACATGTATCCCTCTGTTCTCTTCCCTGTATTTTTGTCTGTTTTCTTTACTCTCCACTCCCACATTACACTGTGCTGGCTAAGAAAATCCGGAGAAAAATCGAACTCCAAGCATAGTTGGAGTTGTTGGACTGTTGGAGGGGTAAAAAAAAAAGAGGAAAAAAACTTTTTGGCCCTTTATTATTACAGGTAATAACAAGCCAGCTCCAGCGATTTCAGTTCAGTTTGCAGAAATGGCCCAGCCCACTACCTCAACCTTATGATCTAGCGAAACGAAGGGCCGAACATTCCTGTTGGGCCGTCACCCTGATGACCCAGTCTCGCAGAGTCGCTTTTTGGCCCTTTATTAAAGCCCCGTTTAGATCCAAAATTTTTTGGATTTTGGTTTACTGTAGCATTTTGTTTGTATTTAGTAATTAGTGTCTAATTATGGACTAATTAGATTCAAAAGTTTCGTCTTGTGATTTCTCACCCAACTGTGTAATTAGTTTTTTTTTATCTACATTTAATCCTCTATGCATGTACCGTAAGATTCGATGTGACGAGTAGTGCGTAAAAAATTTTGGAACGTAAACAGGCCCTAATCTCTAGTCCGACGACAAAATCACTCCAGATTTCTGTCCTTCTCCCAGTCCCATCTCGAGAGCAAACAAGCATCCAAATCCGACGACAAAGTCATCACAACAACAAAAAGACGCTCCCACTCAGAGCGCACGGCCCCGGGGGCCATATTCGAACGTCCTCCGCCGCCTCCGCTCACCTCTTTCTTCTTCGCCGCCGCTGATCCCCCCTCCTCGGTTCCTCCTAGTCCCGCCGACCGAGGTTCTCCCCTCCGCGGCCCCGGCAGCTGACTGTCTTCGTTCTCTGCTGGTGAGTAAAACCTAGCTTGGTTGGTTCTCTCTATTTTTTATGAGGATGGGTGCGGGCGACCGGGTCCCAGATCTTCGGATTCGTCTCGTGCATGCTACATTCCTATAATAAGTAAGGTAGTGCCAAAAACTCAAATTTGCCGATCAGGTTCCTCCTCCTCTTCTTGAGGAATTGGCTGGCTCTCGACATTTTTTTCCCCAGGTGGTGGTTTTGCTGGACCCGATGCCCACCGTTACGGCCGCCGCCCCAGCCGGCTGCTCACCTTGCGTGGTGACTCCGGCGCGATCGAGCAGAGGCAGAGCATCTCTTTCCGGGGTAGCTAGAGGTACGTCCACGCCGTCTTCTTGGTTCCATCCGTTGGCATCCTACCATGTAAGGATGAAAACGGTCGAAAACGGTCGGAAACGGTTTATAATATAGAAAACGGAAGCGGCCGGTTCACATTTTAGCAATTAAAGAGTACAAAAAATGGTTGAAAATGGTTGTGAAACCAATTGAAAATGACAAATTTTTATGTTGGTGAAATTCGGAAACGGTATCATAATATAGAAAATGGTATCATAATATAGAAAACGAAAGCGGACGGTTCGGAATATTTCCGTAACATTTTCATCCTTACTACCATGACGATGCCGTCGCGTAACACGGTTGAGGGAAAAGTGATATGTATCTTGGTTTCTGTCACCTTCGATGGCTATGTTGGGTTCAATCCAGAAAGTTTTTTTTTAGTTCATATATATACACGTTCTCGGGCACTTACTCTGGCAAGTTGCTAAGGGCAGGATTTTACTTCACCTTCTTATGCCTGGGACTTATTGCTGCCTGATTCCTTTCTTCGAACAGCATATGCCGAGAGGCGGTTGGTTGCAGAAAACATAAGCCTGCCAAACAAGGTACGGGCCTCATTGTTGATTATTGTAAGTGTGCAACTTGCCGTGGGTTTCTATGAAATAATAATACTAGCATACTAATAAATTGCAGCATAAAGAGGAACTTGAGACTGGAATAAGGAGTCAGCTCCGGAGGCCCCAGTTGCCACCTTCTTCATACGACACGGCCTGGGTTTCTATGGTGCCGATGCGGGGCTCTCATCAGACTCCCTGCTTCCCACAATGTGTTGAGTGGATATTGCAGAACCAGCAGGATGATGGATCTTGGGGTGTCAACCAATCTGACTCATCAGTCAGCAAGGATGTTCTCCTATCCACGTTGGCATGTGTTCTTGCGTTGAAGAGATGGAATGTTGGTAGAGAGAACATGTGGAGAGGTATAAATTGTGGTTCATCAGGAGAGATTTGAAGGTATTTTTATTTCAGTGAAAATTTATGCTGACCAATCACCTTTTTTTCCTTTTATGTTTTGAACAGGACTGCATTTCATTGAGAGAAATTTCTCTGTTGCTATGGACGAGCAGGTCACTGGTCCTATAGGTTTCAACATCACTTTTCCTGGTTTACTTAGCCTCGCCATTGATATGGGTTTAGAAATTCCTATAAGACAAACTGATGTCTGTGGGATTCTTCACCTCCGGGAGATGGAATTGAAAAGGTTTGTCGATGACTTATCCTGGCATCAAAGTTCATCTTGTATTTATTTTGTGTTTGCATATCAGGGAAGACTTGTTTTATAGAGTTATTGGTATATATGGATTTAACGCATGAACAGAAATCACTCGTAATTATTTTCCTTGTTTTTGAAACATTAAAGGAGTTTGCATTAATTTTTCAGATGACCATAATTTTGCTGGAAAGGGGTGCTCCTGATGTTGTTCATATTGTCTTTTGATTAATTCATAATTTGACATGAGCTTGTGAATAATGTACTGAAGGTCCTGATAGTTGATTTAATTTAGACAGGCTGTGGACAGTTCTTCTGGAAGAAAAGCATATATGGCTTGTATCGCAGAAGGATTAGGAAATATGCTGGACTGGGATGAAGCTATGAAGTTCCAGAGGAAGAATGGATCATTGTTCAGCTCTCCTTCCACAACTGCTGTTGCATTAATCCACAAATACAATGATCAAGCCCTTCAATACCTAAATTTGCTTGTCAGTGAATTTGGCAGTGCTGGTGGGTTGCCGTACTATTCCTTCTCATAATCATTCTAGCATTTGGACTATTGGTTAATACCTAATGGCATTAGGCTTTTGCAGTACCAGCAATGTATCCTTTAAAAATACATTGTCAGCTTTCAATGGTGGATGCACTTGAAAAAATGGGAATTTCTCAGCACTTTGTCAGTGACATAGAAAGCATCCTGGACATGGCATACAGGTAATTGTCTTGTTTGAAAATTTTATATCTTCCTTTAGTAACTTATATACTTGACTATATCCAGCTTGCAGTTGCTGGTTACAGAAAGATGAGGAAATCATGATGGACATAGCAACATGTGCAATGGCATTTCGCCTTTTGAGGATGAATGGTTACAATGTTTCCTCAGGTACTTCAGAACTCACAAGTCTGGAATTCCAGACAACATTAGTTTTTTCTTTGACTTTGGCCAAACTAATGCGCTAATTTACATCAGATGAGCTGTCTCATGTTGCTGGACCTTCCAATTTTCATGATTCACTACAAGGATATTTAAATGATACAAAATCCCTGCTGGAATTGTACAAGGCTTCAAAAGTCAGCTTATCAGAAAACGATTTGATCTTAGATGGCATAGGATCCTGGTCTGGCAACTTATTGAAGGATAAGTTGTGCTCTAGTAGGGTGCAAAAAGACCTGATTTTTGGAGAGGTGCTGCATAAAATTTGAAATTCTCATTTTCACTTGGGAGGTTCAGTTTATGTTTAATTCTGTGTTTTCTGATTTCAGATGGAGTATGCTGTTAAGTTTCCCTTTTATGCTACACTGGAGCGTCTAGAACACAAGAGAAACATCGAACATTTTGATGCTTGGGTTCCTCTGATGCTAACAACAAAATCCTTGTAAGATTTTAATTTTGCAGAAGCACATCTCATCAAATTTGAGTAGTTTAGATGCTGAGTACCAATGTTATACACTTTGTTGTATCAGGTCTTTTCGTATCAATCAAGAATTTGTAGCTTTGGCTGTCGAAGATTTCAGTTCCTCTCAATATGTTTACCAGGATGAACTTCAGCATCTTGATAGGTAATATAAATGTCATATACTTGTCTTTTAAATTTTCTCCCTTAGGTAAATGGCTTAAGTTTGTTGCAACAGTTGGGTGAAGGAGAACAAGCTGGACCAGCTACAATTTGCTCGGCAGAAACTGACATACTGCTATCTGTCTGCGGCTGCTACCATATTTTCTTCTGAATTGTCTGACGCTCGCATTTCATGGGCAAAAAATGGTGTTCTCACAACTGTGGTTGATGACTTCTTCGATGTTGGGGGATCAAAAGAAGAATTAGAAAGCCTGATAGCACTAGTTGAGAAGTATGTCTACTCTTTATGAAGTAACGCTGATCGCTTATGCATGCCTAATTAATCTCCCATTTTTGGCTGATGGTTTTCATAGATGGCATGCGCACCATGCAGTTGAGTTCTACTCAGAGCAAGTGAAAATAGTATTTTCTGCTATTTATACAACAGTGAACCATCTTGGAGCAATGGCTTCTGCAGCACAAGGCCGTGATGTTACAAACCACCTAGTAGAAATAGTAAGTCTGATGTGTGTCCCAATAATCTTGCATTTGGTTATGTTCAGTACTGACAACTTGGAGCACATTTGCAGTGGCTGGATTTGTTGAGGTCTATGATGGTCGAGACAGAATGGCAGAGAAGCCAATATGTGCCAACAGTTGAAGAATACATGACAAATGCTGTTGTCTCGTTTGCACTGGGCCCAATTGTGCTCCCAGCATTGTATTTTGTAGGGCAAGAGGTATTAGAGCAAGCTGTCAAAGATGAAGAGTACGATAAATTATTTAGGCTAATGAGCACTTCTGGGAGGCTCCTCAATGACTGCCAAAGTTTCAAGGTATTAGAACCCCTTTACACATAAAAGTCATGGTTTTCTACTAGATAAGCATATCTTCTTAAAATTTTCCTCATTTTCTCACTTTAAGTTTGCAACTGGATGATTCTTACAAAATTGTTCGTCCATGTCTGCAGAGGGAAGGAAACCAGGGGAAGCTGAATAGTGTTTCTCTACTTGTCCTCCACAGTGGTGGTTCTATGTCCATAGAAGCCGCTAAAAAGGCAATGCAGAAGTCCATAGACGTCTCTAGGAGAGAGTTGCTAAGATTGGTTCTCAGGAAAGAAAGCCCTGTTCCTAGGCCATGCAAGGAGCTCTTCTGGAAGATGTGTAAGATAGTTCACTTGTTCTACTCTCAGACTGATGGATTTAGTTCCCCAAAGGAAATGGTAGGTGCAGTGAATGCTGTTATCAACGAGCCACTCAGAGTCCAAAATAGTACTAGTTCGTTTTTGTCTAGTTCATGAAGAGAGGATCTCATGTAATTTATCCATTTCATATGGATCAGATACAACAGCAGCAAGCTTAAGATATTTGTGAGTTTGTAACTGGGCTGATGTAGATCGGTGAAGGTACAGTTTTGTTGTATGTGGATCAAGGTATTAGTGAGAGTTATTCGCTCTCTTTCGCAAGATTTTGTCGAGAATTTGCAATATCCTGACCAAAAGCCTCTCCCTATCCATAGTCTTTCTTTCTTTTACCCATAAATAAATATTAATCTGTCTTATTGGGCTCTTATTTACCCTATTACGAATTTCTGATAAGGATTATGCCGTGCGTCACAACTGAGGTTTTCTTGTCATCTGTATCCAGCTAGTCACACTTCTGCACTTCAGATGCTTTATTAGTTCTTCTCAACTTGCCTCCAAATCAAATACGCGCTTAGTGTCGAAAGAAGTCAGCTTGATCATAGAGAACAAAATCCTACTACAGCTTAACATCAGAGAGTAAAGATTCCCAGAGTACGCGTAAGCATCAAGTTAGCATATTTGACTTCAAATAATTGGGCGAAAAGCTGAAAGCGAAAAGATGGCAAGCAGCAGTCTGAGTAAGAGCTTGTATATCAATATGTAAAGAAATCACCTTAGTTTCACCTTTGCACAGTATTGGTCTCACAAAATTCAAAACCATACTAGTGAAGAAGAGCTAGTTACAAAATCTGGAGTGGTGTGGCCTAGAAGCAAAAGGAATGATAAGCCCAAATGATTTTGGGAAAATTTTGCACATCTGCAGTCTGTTCTCCTGCATATCTACGTACCCTCCCTCCTCACAGAAGGTCAAATTTGCACTTCTCGTAGCCTGCAGAGACAAAATAATGCAGTAGGGTTAGTCGGTTAAGTAAATTAGGAGGGAAATGTAGTTGGGTTCGGTTTAACACGCAAGTTACACCATAGTTAACAAGAATATTGAAGGCATTTTTCAGGGGAACTACAGCAGGTGAGATGCCGGTTTGAACAAAGGCATTTCAAAGGAAACAATTCGATTCCTTAAAAACCTGGAATATGTGCTTAATAAGGATAAACAAGTCCTGGAAGGCAAGTATCTAAGTTCAGTTCAGTCAGAGCCTCAGAGCAATGCACTAGTTCAGTCAGAAGCAGAGTAGTCTACAATCTACAGACTACAGCATCACTGAACAAGATCGTCAGTGATCAGTAAAGGCCAAACAACATCTTCGAGTTCGAGCAAGAATGCAAGATTGACATGAAGCAAAAGTCAGAGCAGGCAAATCCACCACGGCATGAACGCATTGAAGGTGAGGGAGCTGATGATGATGCTTACTTGGGTCTCTGGTGACAATGGTGGCTGTGCCGCCGAAGTCGCAGGTGCCGCCGTTCGCCTTGGCCTGCTGCCAGTAGCTGTTGAACGCGAAGGAGGCGTGCGCGAGCACGGTGTTGGGGCGGTAGCACGCGCCGCTGGGCAGGATGGAGTCGCACTCGGCGCCGGTACCGCACGCGTAGTCCATGGCGTCCTGGATGATGGGGTCCGGCACCGTGGGCTTGGCCACGCACCACAGCGTCTGCCCGGCGCCCGGCGGCATCGGCGGCGCCAGTGGAGGTGGGTACACGATCGGCGGCTGGAACGGGATGCCGCCACCGCCGCCGCCGCCGGAGCCGGAGCCTGGACCAGGGCCGAATCCCGGCGGGCTCGGCACCACGACGATGGGGCTCGGCGGCACCGATCCGAATGGCGTGCCCGGACCGACCTGCGGCGGCGAGTTCGGTGTTGTGGATGCCGGTGGGCCTTCCTGGCCTTGACCTCCGCCTCCCTGGCCTTGATCACCGCCTCCCTGGCCTTGGTCTCCGCCCTGGCCTTGACCACCGCCCTGTCCCTGGCCTCCACCCGGGGCGCCGTTCTCCGGCGGGCTGGGCTCGAAGGACGGCGGCACGGGGGTGATCGGCGGCAGCGGCGGCGCCTGGCCCGGGAACGAAGGCGTGAAGGGCGTGGACGACGTGGACGGCGGCGTCGTGGACGACGGCGCGTCCGGTGGGTTGACGCAGAACGGCGAGTTGGTGGTGTCGCCCGCGGCGAGGCTCGCAGCGTCGGCCGCGTCGGCGGTCGGAGTGGGCAGCCGGCGCGGTGGCTCCACCGTCCGGATGAAGTTGAGCTTGAACAGCGCGTTCAGCAGCGGGCTGCTGCTCCTGCTCTGCAGTCGCCTCGCCGCCATGGCCCTCGCTTCTGCTCCATGCATGCACGGAAAAAAGTCAAAAACCCTCTCGCCTAGTTATTACTCCTAGCTAGTGACCCAGCATTGTGATGAGGAGGATCGCCATGGCCCTCGCTGTTGGTCGTGCGTGTGAGACTGTGAGTGAAGTGCAGCACGTACTTACCACACCGAGTGGCGCAGCAGAGCAGGAGCAGCAGCGACGCCACCGCGAGCCCGGCAGTACTGACGAGCGGCACTCTGTCCTTGCGCGCCATGGCTACCGCCGGCGCTGCCCTGTCCCTGACTCCCTGTGCAGCAGCAGGCAGCAGTGGGGGCCGTTATATGTGTGGCTTTCGCGAGGCTAAAGGAGCAGCTGGGGGAACAGCGGTGTGGATCGGCCATGCGTGGATCTCCAAAGCGTCGGGGAAACTCTAAAAGCCGGGCGGCGCAGCGGAAAGAGGCAAAAGGGGTGGATCGGCCGCGGTGGCGGTGGTGGATGATGCTCATGCCATGTATGCTTTCCCAAGAAAACTTAGAGAAGGCACGTCGGGGTTAGTTGTTGCGACGACTGCTGCACGCAGTGGCAGTGGGCAGTGGCCATGGATGGAGGGAGGGAGTGAGGATGGGACGAGGTGGCTGTGTCGCCTTTGTTAATTAGCTTGTTCTTTAATCTTGGCATCTATGCTTGCTTGCCGCTAGGGAAAATGCTAGTACGTCCGGCCGGGCCGTCGCGGCACGGGCAACGTGCGACGTGTCTGCATCTTCAGCTTGCTTTGTGCTCAAGGGAAGAGATGCTCCTACTCCTACTGCTGTGGAGTGTGACTTGTCACTAGTGGCTGCTGTGTTCTGGCCGGGCTTCTTGCAGGGCCGTCCCACAAATTTCATGGCCCTTGGCCAGTAAGACACTAAGACAGTATACACATGGGTATAACGCACTATTAGCAGATCATGGCCCCCGGGCCAGTAAGACACTAAGACAGTATACATACTAAGATAGATAGCAGATCGGTTAGCAAATCGTGTTACTATAACGTACTGTTGTCTTGCCGGTGTATGGGCTGATAGCATCTACTATACAACATTCACATGGGTACCCTCGTAGGACGGGCCTGGCTTCTTGCATCGAGAAGCTTTTGTGTGTTCGTCAGCTGATGAGCTTAGGTTGACCGAGGTCGGGGAGAGAAAGAGAAGGCTGTTATGCCTTTCTTGACGGGGCCGGAAATCTTTCTGAATCGGAGCAGGCGAAAAGAGGAAAACGGGCTTGCGTCTTGTAGCCTTTTAGGTAGTTTTGGGCCTGGACGCAGCCCACACACAGCATCGAGTCCTGGGCCAGGGACCGTCCTCCCCCGGTTGTTTCGGCCCGCGTACGACGCGGACGCGGAAGACAAGGGGAAGGCCCGGCATCCCGGTGAGGGCCCCACGTCCACGCCTATCAATTCTGCTGGGCTGCACCTCGCGCGAGGCGACGGAGCTAGACATCCATGGACGGTCGATGTAGGTGTGAAAGTGACGTAGATAATTCTTTTATTCGATTCAACCTGAATTCGATTTTTTTATGTGTAGAGAAGAATTTTTTTTGTATAAATTAGAATTTTTAATATCCATACAGATAAGGATAATCCAAATCTAATTGTATGGAAATGTGGGACATTATATAGAATAGGAAAAATCCTGTAGATATAGATTATCCGTAAATTCTATGCGGATTATTCGATGCTTAAAATAGGATATCCGATGGTTTTTCTCCTAGACTAAAACCAAGAGGAATTTAGAAACTTTTTAAAAAGTATTAGTTGAGAACCCTTATTTTGTGTTGTGGTTGTTTGATGTTCTAAATTTTGAATTAAGAATTTGCTAGCTAGTATTACTTATTGGTTAATAATTTATCATTTATGATTGAAGATATCGGTATTATAGCCACAACATGGATTGCGATGCAAAATCCGTCTCCGATTCGATTTCGCTCCATCTATGTACCAGTTCCGACGTCCAAACAATTGCATCCACATCTACATCCATGTATTATCGCTCCGATCTAAATCCGACAAAAAAAATTAAATTAAAATATGGAAGAGACATCTCCGCTCCTATATGTATGTTTTCATCCCATGCGCCAGGTTTGGTACATGCCGTCGCCGCCGCGGCGGGCCGGTGGCTAGTGGCTACTGTAGATGCCCCTGGTCCGTGGGCACTGCCCCATTGCCAGCATTGGATGCCAAATCGCGTTGACAAAAGGGAAGAAAATTGGGTGAGCGATTGCGCCCCCTTGGCTGATGCCTGTCGCGTGTCACCGGTTGTAATCAAAGGGCCAGCACACGAGGCGCGTCGTCCGCTCTCCCCTCGGCTCCTCACGTACACGGTACACACACAAGAAGGCTCCACCGCGGCTCCTCGGCTCCTTGCACGGGTGGATGGGATCGACCGATCGATGCCACTGCATGCATGCACGCACGCACGCACGCACGCACTGCCCGCCGCCGCCGCCGCGTCGGCCTGTCTGTATGTCGTCGGTCGGCCGAGTCAGCAATACACGCGCGGCCGCAGCAGCACCGTCGTCGCCCACGCCGACCGACGCCCTCAGCCCCTCACCGTACGTCACCCAGCGAGTTAGGACGAGACGCGCGTACCATGGACTGCACGGACAACGACGACGCGTGTGCCTGCTGACAACGACGACGATCGAGATCACGGCCGCTCTCTGCCCGTGCCGGCCGGCGCCCCGGCCCGAGATCGACCGAGAGGTCGTCTCGCTTGTCGGTCAATCAATCTAGCTAGTAACCTAACCTAGGCTAGCTGCTGCTGTGTGGCCGGACGACGACGGCGCGCCGGTACCCATATGCTACGTACGGCGGCCGATTATATTGTATTGATTTCGATGAGCGATC